GAACCCGGGAGGCGGAGCTTGCAGTGAGCCGAGATCGCGCCACTGCACTCCAGCCTGGGCGACAGAGCGAGACTCCGTCTCAAAAAAAAAAAAAAAAAGTTCATAAACACAGCTATCAAAAACCTATCTTTTAAGAATGTAACATTTGGGAAGTTCTCAAAGGGAAATGATGGCTTACAAGATTTGCTTCTTTTTTTGGAGAAATCTACCTTTAATGGCACCAGAAGCTTGAAATCCACATTGTAAACTTTAATCCTGAAAATAGCCGCTTAATTACAAATAAAAAAGATCTTCCCCAGTTTAAGAAATGTTTTTGTTTGTTTTTAGTCTTTCAGTCACTTGATAATACAACTCTAGGCCGCAATCCAGAAAACCAGTCTAATTCAGTCACTTCATAGACAAAAAAACCCCTACGATGTACAGAGGTAAAGTGACTTGCTTGGTCACACAGCTAATTCATCAGAACAAAGAGTGAAACCGAGGCTTTCTGATTCAGCTGTTTCCATACCTGCTAAAAGAACAAGGGGTTCTGCACACATCTTCTGCACTGCTCTGGCAATTTTTCCTAAGCACGTGTTCCCAGATGCTGAGATGACCGTGCAGGTTGTGTGAACCGCATACAACTGGGCTGCAACTAAAGAGATGTCATTCACAGTGGACACCGTAGATCTGTACACATTTTATGAGAATGTTCTGGCTGTTAGCAGCACAATGGGTTGTGCTCATGAAAGCAAGCAATCTTGGAGAGACCCAAGTTGTGATTCACTTCTCAGTCCCAGAGGTCACATGACAAGAAAAAAAAAAAAAACTTTTTATTTTTTAACTCAGACTCCATTCTCCTTTGAATTAATGTTGACATATAAGAGAAAAAGGCAAAACACAAGCAAAGAAACTGAGATATTTATTTAAAAAGGAAATTCCAGGGAAAGTACCCTGCATTACCTTAGGAGCTGCATCCGGCCAAACTACTTATAGCATCAATATCTGCAATCGTATGATCCCTGATGTTTAGAAATCGTGACCCTGAAGCCCTAAATGATCCCCAATCAAAAAGCAGTTAAGTTATATCTAGCCTACTGTGTTAAGAAAGTCTATTTTATCATGGTTTTCAACCAGTATTAAAATAGGAAAAAAAAGGGGTTTTCTGGCTAACCAGAAAACTCTGTTCCCTGAGCATCTCAACAAACTGAGCCTGTGTTATAAAGAGACTGCTCTCTCTAAACAATCAAGTCTAGCATAACTCATCAAGTAGAAACCAAACCAATCACCAACCAAAGGAAAAGATCCACCCCTTCTAACTTAAAACATTAAAGATATTAAATGAGTGATTTTTTTCACTTTTGGAAATAATGTGAAATGTCTGTATTACACATAGTTGCAGACACATTAGAAAAAACAAATTAATGTTTAATTTTCTATGAAATTGCTAGCTGCTCTTTGTTTCAATAAATATGAAAATAATAAATTAAGATTGCTTTAGCACAGGAAGAGATAGATAGATACGTGGTTGAAACAATACAGCAGGATGTTTCAATACTGCTAGACTGTGGGCTTTCATAATCCAGAAGGCTGGATGTTGTAGGGAGCACTTTCAAGTCCATCTACAGAAGGACTCAGGTTCTGCTACCATGGATAAACCTTGTAGTGACTGGTCAGAACTTCTCAATGAACAGCTCAGAATCCTAGGTCTAAGCCAGGCAGCAAACGATGTATTTTGGAAGAGTAGCGGTCAAATTTATCATTCAATGATCTCAACATGTGACTATTCTTGAAAGAAAAAGAAAACGCTGGGCAACAGAAAAAACAGTAATGACAAAACAAAACAGTCTTCTGGCCAGGAGCCCAATTATTTTTCAGACAAAATTTTTAAGAAAACAAAATTTTTCCAGAATATTCCATTACAAAAATCAATGAATAAATGAATTACACTGTAACTTTCATACATATTCCATATGAAAAAGCAAACTGCTTCTGGCAATTTGATTGATCTCTTGAAAGTCTGCCATGCATGCATTCCATGGTTAAAATCGTGTGTAGGCATTGCGCTGCTGCTGCTGCTGTAATGGCTGCTGGGCTTGCTGCTGTTGTAAGCGAATTTGCTGGGAATAAGGGTCTTCCAAGGATTTTACAAATATGGTAGTTCTGGGACCAGTCTTCCATACTATACCATTGGCATCTTTCACAGAAGATTCCACTGTAATGTTGTGTGTTCCAAGGATAGCAAAGTTCAACAGAAATTGAGTACTGAAGTAATCATTATGAGGTTCAACCCTTTGCTCCATCTCATTGGTCATGTTGTCAATGGGTATCTGGAATGAAATAATTGTTAAATAACAACAATGGCTAACATTTATTCAGTACTTACTATGAGTTAGGCCCTGTTCTAAGAGCTTATTTAGACCATGCAGACAATCAAAAAGTAGGTACTGCTATCATCCTTGCTTCACAGATGAGCAGTCTGAGGCAGACAGGTGAAGTAATTTCTCCAAAGTCACATGATTAGTGAATGGAGTAGGAATCTGAACACAGGCAGGCTACCTCCAGGGCCTACACTCTGAACTATTAAGCGATGCTCCTCACTATCCTTGAGTAGAATGAGCTCCCAGGGCTGTTTACAGCCCCTTCACATGCTGGGCTTTCTTCCTTGCTTACTCAACCCCATCTCTAAATCCCTATCTTCCTTGAGACTGTGAAGAGATATTCTGAAGAAATAGGATGAAATCACCTGTTCCAGAGAGTTTAAAATCTAAGAGACTGAAAAAGAACAAAACACTAAGCAAATTTAAGTTAGGTTCCCCCCCATCCAGTTGGTCTGATTTTTATTACTTAATGTAGTGGTTCCTTACTCCTTTAATAAATTAACTGAACAATTTGCACATTGCTCATTTAATAATCAGTATCTTGTTCAGACTGGAAGTACAATATGTTATAAAACACAGATTTACAGGCTCATTCATTTAGCCAGACATTCATGCTTTTGTTCTTCAAAGACCAGAATAAAACCTGCTGACGTACTCTTACCTGTACCCAAGATGAAACATGTCAAGAGATAGATTTCTCCTGAGAATGCAAATAAAGGTGATCTTAACGTGTATTTGACCAGATTGCTCTAGGTTTATGTGTGTGTTTCTGTGGTGTAATTAATTATATAAATGTGCCCTGCAGCTTTGTGTCTCAAGGAGCAGTTATGTCACTTTTCCAGAGACATTTACCTGTAACATTAATGAACTGACCTCACCAACCAATTCAAGGTCTTAGAATTATTTATAGTAAAGGTACTTTTTCCCGTTTAGCCTTTGTATAGTTTTTATTTCCCTAAAGAATATGCCTACCAAAGAACTTCCTTAAAAGGACCAGAAATAGGCCTAGGGAACCTGATCACCCTGAACGGATGGCTGCATTTTAAGCTGCAAACTCACTGTGAATAACACGGCAAAGTAATCATGTTATTACATGGCTTATTATATCAGCTTCCTGACTTTAATCAATGCCTCTTGAGAGGTAAGTCAACAAACAGAAGACCATAGCTTCTAGGTTTAAATGTCATTTTCTTAATAGAAGAAATTATACGCAAGGAACAAAGAGAATCATGGTTACTACTGTTTCAAATTCAAAGTGAAGAGAGAGCTGCAGACAGGGATAAATTGTGTAAATTCTCATTACAAACTTCTGTGACAGCAGATACCCAATTTTAACAGTTGTACTCTAAATATAGTAAATAATTTTTTCATCATTCACAAATTATTGAGTGGCTACATAAGGTACCATGCAGTATGGCATAGAAGTCAAAACAGGAAAAGAGGAGAATGAAGGCTGAGCCATGTCAGAGTGCCAAAGTGAGAGGAACTTGCCATAGTTAAGAAAGTAGTAATGGCTTAAGAAAGTAATAATAGTTTAGAACCAGACCTTCCATTGGCTTTTTAACCTAAAACCACCAAAGATAATAAAATGCTCTCTTTTTATACCTTCACTGATAACCCGCCTTCCACGCTACGCCACAATAAACCTAAACACAGCCAATCTGGGCATCTGAATAACTTTGCTGCTACAACTGTGGACTTGGTCCCTTGCTCCATTTACTGTGGATAAACCACCAAGGAATTGGAAATGAATGTCTAAAGCAAGGAACATTCTTTATTTGGAACACTGGCATTTCATGGGTACAGATTCAGTATCTTAGCTCTGGCTAACAATGTAAGCCTGATTCAGGTTATTACTTACCTATATCCTGAGTTCTCAAGGCAGCAAATCCCTAGGGTTACACTCTTAAAAAAAGATTTTACTTTATCTGACCACTTTATAGAAATGCTATATACTTTTTTTAAATGATAAAATTTACTTAAAATGGAGAAAACTACATAGATGTGTATTATTTTGTGGGGAGGGATTGGGTGGGTTAGGGAGACACTTGTTTTTCAACCTCTGACATTTGAAGGGACCTCTGGATGTGCAAGGGGCCTTTCATTACATTAATTTCCTGGCCTAGCGGGGAGGAGGGAGGAGGTGAGTCTTGCTGATGGGTGAGTTTCTGGGCAGGAACCAGACATGGGAAGGTAAGCCCTTGCTCTTTCTCTTCTGCTTTGGGCACCCGAGTTCTCTGTGCCCTGCCATAAATTTTATAGGGGCAGGCTCCCATATGTACTGACTGAGGCTGGGTGAAAAAATCCAATTCAGGGGTCTACGGTTAGAAAGTCCTTGCTGCCAGGCATCGGAGTTAGGTTTTCCCACAGCTCTAACAGTAACAAAACTCATATTTTGATCTTTGCCTAGATGCTTCGTCCCTATTAACTGGTTCAGGGAGAGAAAAAAGAAGTGTTTATCAACCCCTTCCAGCCCCAATGTGGGCTTTTAATTTATGTCCATCTGATCCCTTTGGAGGTATAACTGCAATCTGTTTAACCATGAAAAACACTGGAAAACTTCCATCAATGAGCTCATATAAAATCTGTATCACAATTCTGCCTCTCTCCTAAATTACCTTGTAGTCTTGTCCGGATTTACTCTGCAGTGTGGAAGAAACATTCAGACAGACAGACTGAATTTTGCGAAAGAGTCCTGGTTTAGATCCGTGCTGAACCACTCCCTCTACCTTTAGCGCCAGCTGCTGGTTATTCTGGACAGCAATGGGCTCTGCAGGGTTCCGGGGCGATGGTGACAGAGCAAGCTGGAATGCCAACACTCAAATAAATGCCAACAACCAAGAGCAAGCTTCCTTCTGACAAACATGTCTGTGCTAATCACTGGTTACAGGTTAACAGAATCGATTGTGCACTCCCCTACCCCCACATGACCTGACTGTGCCGAGAAAAGACAGATGTACCTTTAAAGTGCCTCCTTCTAAACATCACTGTGGTTCTCATCTCAAACCTCAGTTCTACTTGAGGATGATAGAGAACTAGAGAAAGCAAAGGCACTGTTCTCCCAATTTTTGTGGTGAGGCATTTCTTTGACAATGAACCACTTCTAGTAGGGAAATGCATTATATCAATTTTCATTACCTAAGAGCTGCTGTCTCTTTGGTCTTAGGTAAATTTAAGTAAACTAAATTCAAATGTAAATGAACTTAAAGTTCCAGGATTATCTACACAGCGAAGTCACTGTGCTATAAAAAAGTCAATATCCACAAATGAATCAAATGACATTTTTTACCTCTCATTAGTTTTTCTTCAAAAATGTATTAAAAATCCCAAATACGCATCAATTAAAGAAAGCTCAAGTCTTGCTAAATGAAAAGATGGAAGAAATTTGAGTCTTTCTGATAATGCTGTTGAACTACTGAACTAATCAACCCTGGAGACATCCTACTTTAGGACTTCTTATCTAGATCGTCAGTCTTCCTCATTATTCCAGTCATTTTGAAATGGAATGCTTTGTTATTTGTAATCAAAAGCATCTGCATGGATGTAAAAGTTTACTGAAGACATTAACTAACAGGGATAATCTAGGAAATCTCTTAGAAGTGACAATTTTCTCCCTTTTCCAACAATTTCATTTTTTGAATCAAAAATAGCTTTTGAATTGTGAGTGGCTTAAATATTTCAAAACACTAATTCTACTCACTGGTTAGCCCCTCAAAATATGTTACTGAAAGGCAGAAGTACTTTGGCAGTAGAACTGGTGACACTTTACTGGACCTGATTCATTCTAAGTTGGGTTTGAATAGACTCAGCTCAAGATCCTTGCAGGCTACTGTGATATATCACTAATTTATTCCTGGAGGTAAGAGGCAAACAACAGAGCTCCAGTTACCTAAATGCCTATCTCATAGCATTTGGCACTGACAATTAAAAAGGGAGAGAGTTTAACTCTCAAATCCATTCCTTTCATCCAACCCTTGATAAAGGAGAGAAATGGCTTACAACTAGGTTTTATCAAAACCAAAGGTAGGCCAGGCACGGTGGCTCATGCCTGTAATCCGAGCGCTTTGGGAGGCAGAGGTGGGTGGATCACTTGAGGTCAGGAGTTCCTGACCAGCCTGGCCAACATGGTGCAACCCCATCTTTATCAAAAATACATAAATTAGCTGGGTGTGGTGGCGGATGCCTGTAATCCCAGCTCCTTGAGAGGCTGAGGCAGGAGAATTGCTTGAACCTAGAGGTTGCGGTGAGCCAAGATCACACCACTGTACTCCAGCCCAGGCGACAGGGCGAGCCTCTGTCTCAAAAAACAAAACAAAACAAAAAAACCAATAAACCAAAGGTAACACACTGAAGTGTAGCTATGTCCTACATAATCTTCAGAAGACACCTGGTTTTAAAATCTATATTAACCTTAGTATTCTTCCTGTATTACCTTGATGCTGGTAGACTGTAGTTTCTGGAAAAAATATCTCTGGAAAGAAAGAGGAACTTTCAGCAAAGCAATGATGGCATTGCAGAGGCATGCTGTATGCTGAGGGAAAAAAAGAAACTAAATCAAATAAAAATAAATTTTCAAATTTCATCAACAAGTGGTACATTCAGTATAAAACTACAAATGCCCATATAATTACAAATGTACATACCAATCAAGAACTAGGCATCACATCCAGGAACTGTGCATACATACTAAATCATTCATGTCATCAATCACAATTATAGATTTTTACTTCATTGTGAAGTATATTCAATAAAATGTAAGTGACAGAAATGAGAAAATCCACAGTCCTCAAGGCCAAGCAATAGGAAAATTCCACATTTCTACAGCACTCAGAAATATCAGTATATTATTAAACAAATATATTAGATGCTAAAATACAGAGTAACTATCACATGGCAAAGTATGATAAACAGTATGGTAAAGAAGCCCGAGCATTTTGCAGGACCTTGGCTTTGAGCTGGCTCATTCTTTCATTAGGTGGCTTCTTTGTCTCTATGGCCACCGGTCCTCAGAGTAAGCAATGGTGGAAACTTAGTCGAATTCAGATGAAAGAGGACTATATAGTCGGAGAATCCTGAAACTCTAACAAAATACCTTATTTCTCAAATCTGCTTCACACATTTAACTGAGTTTTGAAAATCCCAGCATGACTGCAGAGGTACAGAAACACTGCAGAGAATATTTTGAGCCTTAATGAAAGTGGTCATAAAATCAGAATTTAAGAGTTCAACGATATTTTAAAGATTACCCAGTCTAATCTTCAATTTTGCTGATGACACAGGTCACACAGATAGGTAATAGAACAAGCTGGGACTAGAATCTAGGTTGCCTGACTCTTCAGTGATTTTCTTCTGTATCACCAATGATTTGCCAACTTAATAGAAGAAAACTGAAAGTATCATAAGAACACCTTCAACTTTAGGTGAACCAGAACCATTCCTACTTGGTCTACTATCCCTTCCTCAGTCTACTCCGGTCTCAGTGGCCTCCTAAGGCACAACAGTGAGGCAGCACTCCTTTCGCGGGGGCACTAGCTGCGGGGGGTCTGTTCCTGCAGACCCGATTCAGCAACGGATGAATAAAGTACACTGACACCCAGATATTCTGCTCTGCCAGTCCAGCTGAGGGTCCCAGCTGCTTACAGGCTCCTGCTGAGTCCTGTTAACAGTTGTGACTGGTCCCTGGTCAGCTAGTCAGACTCGCATTTATTCAGTAAGATTAATTAACAAAAGCTTGAGTCAACACCATTAGAGGGAAATTGACATTGTGGACTTCTGAGTAAAAGGCACTTAAGCACCCATGTTACATCAAAGGTTAGTCTTTACATGAGTAAACAAGCTAGCTAGGTAAACTACTCTGCCTTTCTTTATTACTATTTTAATTTGTTTAACTAAAGGTAAAGGGATCAGGTCGCCTTCAGTCAGATCTATTACTGAAGTCATACAAACTTCTCAGCCTTCCAAGAAGATTTGTGTCTATTTCTATAACTATCTCTAATATTTTTCCCACCAACCTGATTGAAACCCAACACCACAGGTTGAAAACTGCTGCATGCACCATGTGGTATGCTGTCTGTCCCTCTAAGCTCCTGCTTTCAAACAGAATGTCACCTAGTTGCTCATGCTGTAAATATTTTTTTTTTCTTTTTTTAAGTTGGGTGTTAAGGCTAAAAGCCAGAAAAATCCATTCCTTATTGGGTTCAGGCAGTTGAACATTTTGTGCCCAATAGGCTCATAGTACAAATGCCAGGTCTATTACCTGAGATAATTACAACACAGATTTAAAGACACTGGTTCTATTTTTTCAGATTCAACTGTCAAAATAGCATTAATCAGCTTCCTGCAACAAGTAATTTGGAAAGTATTTGCAGGGACATCCACCTTTGGTGGACCTCTGATGCCACACTAGTGTTTAAGGAGAGAAACATCTTTGAAGGGTGGACTCAGAGGACCACAAGGGACTTCAGGCTGTTTTCTGGCAGAAAGTCACCATTTTGCCTTTTAAAAGAATGGTGCAGATTTTGCAATACCCCCTTGGAAAAGTGTGGAGTGCCTCTGAGGTCAACAGCCCCTTGGGTATTGACCTCCATAGGTATATTAGCAGACCACTATTAAGATGTCTGGAGATGTAAATTACATATCATAATCAGAAAGACGTTAATTTTTTTTTTTTTGCTTTTTGGTTTTTTTGAGATGGAGTCTCGCTCTGTTACCCAGGCTGGAATGCAGTGGTGCGATCTTGGCTCACTGCAAGCTCTGCCTCCTGGGTTCATGCCATTCTCCTGCATCAGCCTCCCAAGTAGCTGGGATTACAGGCACGTGCCACCATGCCCGGCTAACTTTTGTATTTTTAGTAGAGACAGGGTTTCACCATGTTGGTCAGGCTGATCTCAAACTCCTGACCTCGTGATCCACCCGCATTGGCCTCCCAAAGTGCTGGGATTGCGGGCAGGAGGCACCGTGCCTGGCCAACGCTCTCTTAATTGTCAATCCAATGGATACTTCTCAGTCTTTGTATTTTCTGACATTTCTGTGGCACCTGATAATGCTTTTCCTTCCATGAAATTCCACCTAATAGTCCATACCCTTATTTCTGATTGACTTTAAGACCTTCTATGTGCAGATGACCTTATATGTATCCCAGCTCATCTTTCTTCCAACTCCAACGTATTTACTATCCAACTGCCTAAAGACAACAACGTGTTTGAAAATAAAACCTTCATCTTCTATCACCTCTCTATATTCTATCAGTAAAGGATCAATCAGTTGTGTAACTGATCACTGAAGCTGGAAATCTGGAAGGCATGCCTCCATCATCTCATGTCTAGTTTAAAAAAAAAAAAAAAGGGCCGGGTGTGGTGACTCACGCCTGTAATCCCAGCACTTTGGGAGGCCAAGGCGGGCGGATCACGAGGTCAGGAGATTGAGACCATCCTGGCGAACACGATGAAACCCCGTCTCTACTAAAAACACACAAAAAATTAGCCGGGCGTGGTGGCAGGCGCCTGTAGTCCCAGCTACTGGGGAGGCTAAGGCAGGAGAATGGTGTGAACCCGGGAGGCGGCGGAGCTTGTAGTGAGCGGAGATCGTGCCACTGCAATCCAGCCTGGGCGACAGAGCGAGACGCCGTCTCAAAAAAAAAAAAACAAAAAACAAAAAAAACACACTCAGCGTTGAAAATATTTTCACTAAGTATCTCTCATATATATCTGTTTTTCTCATTCCTACTGACATTTTAGTAATTTGTTCCTTACTTTGGATTACTGAAAAAGCCTTGTAGTCATTCTTCTTTCCTCTAATTTCACACCCTACCAGCCATTTCCTGTTTTGCTTCTATATGATAATATACAATCTATATTAAGCACTTCTCTCTCCCACCCATTTACAATTTCTAAGAAGCCCCCCAGTGCCTAAGGACAAAGTCCAAACTCCTTAATACTGTGTTCAAAGCCTTCTGTCACCTGGCCGCTGGCTACCTCTCTGATTTCATCTCTCTAATCCCTAGCCTGTACGTTACATTGCAGTAATAACAAACTGTTCCTAGAAGACACCATGCTATTTCATGCCTCTGCTTTTGAACATGTTTTCTGCCTGAGATTCCCAACCCCTTCTTATCTGCCTGGAAAACTCATATACAAATACATCTTCCCTCTCAACTGCACCACCAATCCATTTTCCCTATCTTTTGATGTGAACTACTCTTTTTTGTTCTACATCTCTACATTGTGCAGAATTCTATTAATGCACATACACTGTATTGTGTGTATTTGTTATAAAATCTTTCTTTCAGCTGGGTGCGATGGCTCACACCTGTAACCCCAGCACTTTGGGAGGCTGAGGCGGGTGGATCACGAGGTCAGGAGATCGAGACCACCCTGGCTAACATGGTGAAACCCTGTCTCTACTAAAAATACAAAAAATTAGCTGGGCATGGTGGCGGGCACCTGTGGTCCCAGCTATTCGGGAGACTGAGGCAGGAGAATGGCGTGAACCCAGGAGGCAGAGCTTGCAGTGAGCCGAGATCGCGCCACTGCACTCCAGCCTGGGCGACAGAGCGAGACTCTGTCTCAAAAAAAAAAAAAAAATCTTTCTTTCTTAAGACTATGGACAACTTGAGGGAAGATCCCATGTCTGTCATTTTTCTATCCCTAGGATCCCAAAAGTACTTGTTGAACTGAATCTGGAGGCTCAGACAGTAACAAATCTATAAAATACAATTTGAAAATACAGAAAAAGAGAATTTATTTATTTATTTATTTGAGATGAAGTTTCACTCTTGTCGCCCAGGTTGGAGTGCAATGGCGTGATCTCGACTCACAGCAACCTCCACCTCCCGGGTTCAAGCAATTCTCCTGCCTCAGCCTCCCAGGTAGCTGGGATTACAGGCGCTTGCCATCATGCCCTGCTAATTTTTGTAGTTTTAGTACAGATGGGGTCTTACCATGTTGGGCAGGCTGGTCTTGAACTCCTGACCTCAGGTGATCCGCCCACCTTGGCCTCCCAAAGTGCTGAGATTACAGGCATGAGCCACCATGCCCGACTGGGAAATGTTTTATTAACCACTCCTTATATGACAGCACTGTGCTAGGCAATGAGCATTATTTCATTTAAACCTCACAGTAATCCTATGACGCAGGCATGTTTTCTACTTCATATAAAAGGATGTTAAGTAATGTGACTAAAGTCACAGAACTGCTGAGCGGCAATGCCAGAATTTGAACCTAGTTCTGAATGAGCATAGGGCCCTTTTCTCTGTACTGTCTTCTGCTGGGCAGAAAATTCCCATTCCATTATATTCAATTCCATCAAAACCAAGTTTCTGTTTATCATCTATTTCATTTTTTAGGATGGAGCTTAGAGGAATATGAAAATAACCACTGTCTCACACAGATGTGTGTATTTCTTTCAAAGATTGTCTTTACACTCTCTCTTAGCAAACAATGTCACTGTCAAACAGTTGTCAATTCGGTTCAGTAAATACTATTGACAATTTTACATGGAAAGCAGTATGTCAAGGGAATTGCCCCTCTTTAGATCTAACCTAACTCTTTACTGACACATCCTATTTATTCTAAAATACTTGATAAAGCAAGAAAGTACAGAATGAGAACAGAAGCAGAAGAGAAACTCTCCAAGGGGTAAAGTTCAAAGGCTGGGAATTGTGGACTGAATGTTTGTGTTCCCCTAAATTCGTATGTGAAAGCTGTAACCCCCAAGGTCATGGCATTTGGAGGTGGGCCCCCATGATGGGATGAGTGTTCCTCTGTTCTTTTTCTTTTTTTTGAGACACAGTCCTCGCTCTGTTGTCCGGGCTGGAGTGCAGTGGCATGATCTCGGTTCACTGCAACCTCTGACACCCGATTCAAATGATTTTCCTGCCTTAGCCGCCTGAGTAGCTGGGATTACAGGTATGCGCCACCATGCCCAGCTAATTTTTGCATTTTTAGTAGACACAGGGTTTCACCATGTTAGTTACGCTGGTCTCAAACTCCCGACCTCGTGATCTGCCCACCTCGCCCTCCAAAGTGCTGGGATTACAGGCGTGAGCCACTGCACCCAGCTGGGATGAGTGTTCTCCCAGAAGAGGAAGAGTGACCCGAGCTCTCGATCTCTCCCTACCATGTGAAGACACAGTGAGAAGGTGGCTGCCACCAGGGCCAGGAAGAAAGCCCTCACCAGGAACCGAATCTGCCGGCACCTTGATCCTGGACTTCCCTGACTCCAGAACTGTGAGAAATAAATGTCTGTTGTTTAAGGCACCAAGCCTATGGCATTTGTTATAAAACCTGAGCAGAGTCACTAGGGAATGGTCGGACAGGGAGGAGAAAATTTGGGTGAGAATGTGTCACCCTGTCCTATGACTGGTAAATCAGGGGAGAAGATTTAATAAAGGGTGAGCACTCTGAGAATTTCTTAGGAAGTGCCAAAGGCAGCAGAAATTCAGCAGGCTAAAGGCTGAAGAGTGTACTGAAAGACATTACTGTCATCACCTGGTAGGAAATGATTCATTGCCAGTCAGACAACAAGCCCAGTTCTTCCTGTTTCAATTGGCCAGTGGTTCTCCCAACCATGGCAGCATGACAGAATCACCTGACTGCATGTAAAACTACTAATGCCTGGGCCCCAATTCCAGAAATTCAGAGTTAACTGGTCAGGGGTGAGGCCTGTATATTCATGTATTCTTTATAAAAAGCCCTCAAATGATTCTAATGTGTAGCCTGGGTTGAGAATTATTGTACTTCAGTTAAATTGTTAAAAAAAGAAAAAAGTTTTATTTGTATTCTGTAGCAGCTAGAGATGTGGTAAGTGCTTTCATGGATGATCTCATTTACTCCCCACTACAATGCTGTGATGTCGGTATTAACCCTGTTTTATAGATAAGGAAACAGGCACAGAAAGGTTAATTTGTTGAACTCACAGAGTTAGTAAGCGCCATAGATATATGAAAACCCACATCCATACAATAAAAGCTCAATAAAACAAATGCCACTTGCCATATAAGAAACAGGGGTATACTTCCGATTGAGTGATTCTACCTCCTCCAAGACATGATTATATACAGACATCATTCTTCTTTCATATTCACTATCAGCATGGGCTGTTCCAGTAGATCCATATTCCTGGAAACTGAAGTAAAGGTCAATATTCATTAATCCATCAAAATAGCATGGCTATTTAATACCTACATGTATCAGGTACTTTCAAATATTTTCATTTAATTTTTAAAATCATGAAGTTATTTCCATTTATAAGTGAGAAAATTGAGGCTAGGAGAGGGTAAGTAGTTTGCCTACAGTCATACAGCTAGTAAATGGCAAACCAGAATTCAAACTCAGGTCTGACTTCAAGTTATGTAATTCTTAATCTCTTTGGTTGCCAGGAAATATGACAGTGTTTTACTGCCATAGGTGAAAGAGACATAAAGACATCTGAAAAGGGGACTATCAATAAAGCCAGCAGATAGGTGCCAAACTATCAATAAAGATATACAATAACAGGTTAGATACATAAATAACAGGTTAGAACATGGAGGAATGTCACAGAAGAAAATAGTCTTGAACATATCAGTAGGTGAGTAAGACAGGTAAACTCTGGAGAGATGGAAAGTACAGGACATTCATGGCTAGAGATATGGCATGAATCTAAAGCATGGAGATGAAACGCACAGGCATGTTCAGAAGACAGTTTGTATACACAGCATGGCGGAATAAGTTTAACCTAGATTTCTTCCTTTTTCTTCTACTGCTTCGAACCCCTGCAAATTTCTGAAAATATTTCTAAGTGAAAAAAGGCATTTCTAACTAAACTTTTAAAAATACAATGTAGGTAATTTAAATATGCTGGGCATAACACTACTCTTATTATTCCCTACTATCATTTTAATGCCTACTATGTAGAAGGCATTTCAGCCAGCTATTTTATATATATTAGTTCATTTAATCTTCACAACTACTCTGGGAAACAGGCCTCATTATCTACCTATAGTTTATGCATACATGACTCACTGGGATGATATACATTCACAGAGCTAGGAGTGACTGGTAAGGGATTCATGTTCACATTTGCTGGGCTCCAAAGCTCTGTTTCCTGCTCTTTACTATATCTTAAGTTCTATTAAGAACCGAAGCTCATTTGTATGATGGACTTTAAGGACAACTAAACTACATAAAAGACTTCCATTTTTTTGCTAACAAAACAATTCCATTTCTGGCGGTAGGCAACCGCAGATTTGCTTTTTGTCTCTGTAAATGAGATTTGTTTCCTAATAGTTCATATAAATAGAGCCATACAATACATACTCTTTTGTGTATGGTGTGGGGTAAGGAAGATTATTTTTTCCCTTTTATATATTTAGTTGTTCTAGCACAATCTGTTGAAAAGACTATTCTTTTCCCATACAATTATCTTGGCATCTTTGACAAAAATCAAGTGACTACGTGAGTATCTATTTCCGGACTCTCCGTCCTACCCTTAAGCCATCATCACACTGTCTTAATTACTGTAGTTTTATATTAAGTCTTGAAACCAGTAGTTAAGTCTTCCCACTTTAGTTTTTCTCATTTATTTTGCAATATGGTGAAGTACTTAAATTGATTTTCTAATGTTAACCCAACCTTGCATTCCTGGGATAAACCCTATTTAGTCTTAATGTATTATATTTACATATATTGTTGGACTGAACTTTTGTTAAAAATTTTTGTCTATGCTAATGAAGAGTATTTAAATTTGTCCTATTCATCTAAGCAAATTTCTTTGCACAAAGTTATTCTTTCCTTATTATGCTTTTAATATCTGTTAAGA